CTGGGAGAAGCGCGAGTGGAAGGCGCCCTGGGCGGAACCGGTGGCCCGGGAAGGACCGCTCTCTCGTCTCACGCAGCGGTCGCTGATTCTCAGCGCAGCGACTCATCTTTTTCCTCTCGGACTGCTCCAAACTGAATTTCTCAGCTGGCCAAAGACCTTTCCTTCTTCCAGCCCAGCCCAGCCATCCCGAAGCTGCCCTCGCAGGTGTTTCTGTGAGGGAGGGCAGGGGAGGGGGAGGGGAGTCAGCCTAGAGAAAGGAATTGAAAAGCGACTCTGAGAGAAACAAAACCCTGGTGTCAGAGGGGAGGGGCTGGCCTACTGAGGTCCTGGGAGATACGATAGTAAGGGATCGGGTCTTAAATGGACTCTAATTCTCCCATTTGCCAGAGTCTCTGGAAGAATCTAGGGAAAGGAAAGTGTCCCTACCCTGGCAGGTTGGTTATGGTCCCTTGCAGTCCTCGTGGGGCGGGGGCGTCCATGGAAGTTTAGACTGGGGTGAAGGAGAGGGACAGAGCTTCGGGAAAGGGAACTAGACCACCTCCAACAACAGGAAGCCCCATTTTTCTGGTCCAGCCACTTCCCCATCCGTTGCCAGCCTCTCAGCCCCTACGACCCTTTGAACTGGGCTAGGGACCTCTGAAGGGGATTGAACCCTCCCCCAGAACAATCCAGGCAAAGGGCTTCTTCCTTGGGCAGATAAGTGGCAAACTCCCCGCTTCTGGCCCTGGATCACACAGACTCACAGAACAGCTTTGATCCTACAGAGAGGCAGCTGGGAAAGCAGCGGGGGTCCGTAACAGGCATGGGTCCCTATTGTCTACACTGCTGTGGAATTTTCAGGGACCATGACAGTCGGGGGAAGGATTCCACTCCCTTTTCTTTTTTTGGGGGGAAGTGAATTTGTTTCCGTGGTTTTGGAGAGCTGGGAAAAAAAAGTCTTCCAGGACTGTAGGATGGGATAGGGAGAATGCCTTGCCTTGGGAATTAGCCACTTCAGGAGGTCCCTGTGACCTGGGCTAGCCCCCTGATGGGGAGGCGGGGTTCACTGGAGTTAAGGGCTCTGGTGGAATTAGGGGTTATCGATGAGTGACTTTTAACCCTCTTTAAAGTCTGTTGCACTGTGTGGTCTCTACAGAGGAGGAATGTGAGAGGGCCCTGGGTGTGCTGTGAGGCCAGGCCATGCGGGTGCCCCCTCTGAGGACTAGGGGATAAGCACTGCAGGACTGAACATGGCACTGTAGTGGTCAGGAAGCGTTTCTATCTGCCATCTCTGACCCAGAGTTACACAAGCCGGAGGCTACCCATTCCTTCCAACATTCCCAGCCTTATCTCCCAGCCCCACTCCAGTTCTGGCCTGCCATAAACCAGTCACCTGTCGCATTGTCTTGGACACCTGGGGTTAGCTTCCCTGATGAGGGCAAGGCCTGATTTAGGGTCATCAGAGCAGAGATGTGCGGTGACATGTCCTGGTGATTTATGGGCCCATAAAGCTGCCACCCTGGGCATCCCAAGTAGGAGAGCCCTGCCTGAAATTCCAGCCCCACCCCAAATCCTAGCCCTGCAGTAGCTGCCTTCCATTTACTCAGCCTAGGGTCCCCTGTGTCCTGAACTTGGCATCCTGAGTTTAAATTTTTGTTCTTCCTCTGACTCAGGGAAGACCTTGGGCAACTTTCTTAGTCTTCTTATTGCAACTTCCTCATCTATAAAGTGGAGATAAGTCCTGCCCTGCCAACCTCTGCCAATAAACAGTTACTGGGAAGCTGCTGTGATGAATCACAATTCTTGACTTCACAGAATTGGCACTCACACGGCCCTGAACAGAACAGAAGGGGAGCAGGAGGGCACTGAAGGGCTTTGGAGTCAGACAGCTCTTTTGGGTCTACCTCCTTGCTCTGCCACTCTGTCAGCTGAGTGTGTTTCCCTTCTCCGTGAAATGGAAATCCTATCTATAGTCTCATCTTTCTCAGGTAGACGTGAAGATTCAGTGAGTTAACCTGATGAGGAAAGCTGGCCCGGGCTTGGCACCACATTACATGTGACCTTGAATACTCTTCCTTCACCTCCTCCTCTTCCTCTTTCCTGTTCTCCTCCTTTGACATGGCCTCAAGAAAAAGGTCTGGGTGAAATGGGACACCGGCCTAGACCAAGGCAGAAGCCCTCATACATCTGGGCTTCTCCTGAACTCTCAAGAGCAAGGAAAGGAGCCTTAAATGCACAAACCTGAAAATGTGAAATGCAAACAGCCCCTCCCAGGACACTGACAGAAATGAGGTAAAGGCACAGGGAGCAGAGCCCCTGCAGCCCTGGTGTTGGTAGTTCAGGAGACGGTCAGATACCTAGTCTTAAACAGAAACTACCATATCGTGCCTCAAATCCAGGGTCAGGGTAGAAGATAAGAACAGGCTTTGGAGCCAGACTGCAGCGAGTCTCATCCCAGCCGCAATGCTCACCCTTCTCCCTCAGGTTCAGGGTCTTGATCAGGAAATAGGATAACAACAGCATCTCTCCCAACTAGATGATGCTGGGTAAAGGGCCTGGAAAAGGTCCAAGCATTTAGTAAATGCTCAATGAACTTCAGCTGTAATTAATAGCTATTAAGTGGAACAATGGTGTTGCACCCAGAATATGCCAGGGGCAAGGGAAACAGCACCTACTACCAGTGCGTGGGAGTCCGGGGGGTAGAGGGGGGTGGAATTCTGGAGGTGATGAGACCTGAGCCGAGTCTTCGAAGTCAGGTAGGACTGCGGTGTGGCTCAATGGTAGAGCCCTTGCCTAGCACACTTGAGGCCCTGGGTTTCACCCCCAGCAATCAAGGTGTGTGTGTGTGTGGGGGACAAATAGTTATTAAATGGAAAAAAAGTAAAGGGAAACTCATGTAGAGGAAACAGAATGAGAAAAGCCATAGAGGTGCTGGGCAATGATCATTAGAGATAAGGCTGGAGAGGTATTTGGGGCCCAACAGGTAGGATTTGTTGTTTGGAGATTATGGTGGAAGTTTGTTGTGTGGGTTTTTTGTTTGTTTGTTTGTTTTGTTTTTTTGGGGGGTACCGGGATCAAACTCAGGACCTTGCGTTTGCAAGGCAAGTGTGGTGCCATCGAACTAAATACCCAGCCACTTTTTTCCCTTTTTTGGGGGGTTTTGCTTTGTGGGGTTGTTTAAGAAGTTTGGACTGTCTCTCCTTTGGTCAGAGATGAATAGCAGCATCCTGGTTCTCTAGGTCAAAAACATCCTCAGAAAGTGTTGCTTAACTAGCCTCAGAAAAGGAGAGGGATCCTTAGTCGCTTGAGCTTCTGAAGAAGCAGCTGAGGCACAAGAGGGTAATGACTCGCACAAAATGCTCAGCAGAGAGCACAGAGATGGGAGTTAGACCTCAGACTCCTGCTAGAGCTCAGCCCGCTCCGCTGCTGCACCAGGACTGTCTCTCTTCCTCCGGGTTCACACGTGCTGCTTCCCCCCCAGCCTCCGCCCTTCCTTGTTTTCTGCCCCCTCAGTCTTTGCTGATTAGCAGAGGATTCAGGGAAAGGTTTACAGAGATTCCAGCTTTTGTGTCCCTGGATGTTGAGATTAAATCCACACACAAAGCAAGGTTTAATTAATAGCCTGGCCTCTCAGGCTCCCCAGCCTGGATCCCCGCCATATTCCAGCAAAGACAAAAATACTCCTTTCTGCCAGCAACCGTGGAGGCTGCAATGCTCTTCTCTCTTCTTTCCAGGGACCCCACTCCTCTGACTGTGTGGAGAATCCCGGGGGGAGAGAGATTGTTTGCCCCCAAACAATCTGAAATGACAATGGCAGTAAAGTGTGTGGAAAAATCCAGCAATGGGAATGACATACGCTCTGTTCCTGCCCTACAGAAAATTCAGGAATACTCCCCCAGGGTTGTTTCCTTCTCTGTCAGCTCAGCCAAGGGATCTGCTCATCTTTGGATTTGTAAATGTGTTTATGTACTTTCTGGTTTTGTGGCGGAGGGATTCCTAAAGAGGGAAGTGAGGGGAATCTGGCGGGGGAGAAAAAGGAAAAGCCACATGCGGCATCCCGGGTGGTGCAAGGGGAATGTGAACCTCTTTGAACACTGTGGCATTAAGGAAACAGGCTCTTCCCCAGGGGATGTGTGCACACGGAGCGTGTGAACTTCTTCCCCCAAGTTATCCATTGTAGAACATTTGGAAAGACGAAAAATAAATCACCAAATGACTTTTATCTCCCAGAGGCAACCATTTTACAACCCGAGATACACATATATGTATATTCTTAATTTAGAAAGAAAATAGCCTCCTATCTCACTTGAATTGGGGTCCCTTTTCAGCCTTTATCTATGTGCCACACACTATTGACACAGTGACAGTGTCGTGTTCTGCTTTCCAACCATCACGAATGAGTCCAGGGCAGACATGAGCTGTCATCCTGTGGCTCCACAGTACAGCCAGGTGTGTCACCAGCCCGTTTATTTCCTACTATAAATAATGCTGCACTGCACATCTTCCTGCTGGAAGGGTGGGGCCATGAGGAAGG